ACCCCGCCCCGCCCCTGGGGGACGGGGGCTTTGCCCCGTGGGGGTGCGGGGGGGCCCGGCCTCCTCCCCTGAGGTCCACGCAGCACCCAGGGAGCCGCGCATCTCCCTGCCGCAGGATTATTATGGAGCCGTGCTGCAGAGGTCGGCGGATCTGCAAACCAACGCCTGCGTCACTTGCCCGCGGCCCCTGCCCGCGGCTGTGCGGGCGGCTCTGGAGTGCGTGCACGAGGACGTGGCGTCCAGGTGAGCCGATGCCCGCGGCGCGGCTCCCGCCAGCTGCTGCCTGCGTTCTCCCCTGGTGCCGGCGGCTGACCCCAGGCGTCCTTCCCGCAGGTACTACGGCTGCGGCCTGGTGATCCCCGAGCGCCTGGAGGGCAGCCGGATCCTGGACCTGGGCAGCGGGAGCGGCAGAGATTGCTACGTGCTCAGCAAGCTGGTCGGGGAGAGCGGGCACGTCACCGGCGTCGACATGACGGCCATGCAGGTGCCGCTTGCACCTCGGGGTCGGAGGCCAGGATTCAAAGCTGCTGGGGACGGGGCAGTCTGGGCCATTCCTCGGGGGTCCCTGTGGCAGAGGGGCTTGAGGAGGCAGCTGGGGTCCTCCCCCGCAGGTGGAAGTGGCGAGGAAACACATCGACTATCACACAGAGAAATTTGGGTACCGGACGCCAAACGTCGACTTCCTCCAGGGCTACCTGGAGAGCCTGGGAGACGCCGGGCTCCGGGATGAGAGCTATGACATCGTGATGTAGGTGCCGTCCCTGCGAGGGGGGGCTGGTCCCTGGACATGTCTCCCCCCGGGGCGGGAGCTGCCCCGTGTCCAGAGGGCTGCTCGCTCCCTGTGTCAGCTCGTGTCCCGCTGAAAGCCGGGGGCTGAGGAGCCGGTTGGTGGTTGTAACCAAACGGAAGAGACAACTTCAGGGGGGATTTGGTGGCAGCTCACAAATATATCAGGGGAGAGCATTGGGGCGAGGCAAACAGCCAGCCAGCAAAGCACCCTAGGGAAAGCCAGGTCATAAACTCCTAGTGACTCATAAACTTGTGGGACCGGACTCTGGAATAGGCTCCCAGCAGGGGCGGTGCAGGCACCAACCCTGGGCATCTTCACCGGGACACTGGACGCACACTTTCCCGCGGTTATTTGACCCCAGCCGTCTTTCCTGCCCAAAGCAGGGGGGCTGGCCCTGATGGTCTCACAAGGTCCCTTCCAGCCCGAGAAGAGGCCCAGAAATGCTCCCCTCTGTGACCGTGTTTTCTAATGACCCGAAACACGGTCGACAGGGCACCTGGGGGTGTCTGCCGGTCTGCGGGCCGTGCTCCCGGCCGGAGCGGGGTGGTGGGGCTGGCCGGCCTGAGGTGCCCTCTCGCAAATTCCCCGAGGTGAGAGGGGGAAGGGAGCTGGCAGCTCATCTGGCCGTGTCCCGGCCAGGGTGGTCCTGCAGACAGCTCCTGGAGGTGGACGTGGAAGGTGCCCCTGCCAAGATTTGAGATCAAAGGCGCCCGCGCTGCCCAGCTGCAGGGTCGGGTGGGCTGCCCAGGGCCGCCGCGCTTGTCTCTTTGCTGAGCTCTTATCTCCTCCTCAGCTCCAACTGCGTGGTTAACCTCTCCCCCGACAAAAGGGCTGTCCTGCAGGAGGCTTTTCGAGTGCTGAAGGTAACATCAGAGTCTCGTGTGTGCATGCACGTGTGTGTGTGCATGCACGTGTCCGTCCCCTTACTGGAGCATCCGTGCCCCTTCCTGAGACGCAGCTGGCACCGGCCACTGCCAGCGGCCGCCCCGCCCCTCGCTTGGTTTCTGGCCTTTCTACCACGTAATAATTAGCGATGGCTGGAAGCCGTGTCCAGAGGCCTGGGCAGCGGAGGGGCTGCGCTGCTTGCACTCTGCTGGAGATGCCCGCCCAGCCCTGCCTGCCTCTGCCTGCGTTCGCGGTTTCTCCACCCAGGAGCGTGGCCTTTCCCCCCAGCTCATGGACCGAAATTGGGACCAGCGCCTGTTCTGTGCCTGCCCAGCGCTGTGGGGGGGTCCTGCTGCTGCGCACTTGGCGCGTCTAAACCACGCTCTCTTCCAGCCGGGGGGAGAGATGTACTTCAGTGACGTCTACGGCAGCCAGGACCTGCCTGCGGACGTCAGGAAGCACCGCGTCCTCTGGGGTGAGCGGTGGGTTTGGCCTCCTGGGGCGGCGGGGGCTCGGGGTTGCCGATGTCCCGCCTGGATTCCCTGCGCGATGCCTGTCCTGTGCCCGCAGGCGAGTGCCTGGGAGGAGCCCTGTGGTGGAAGGACCTGTACCGAATCGCCCAGGATGTGGGCTTCCGCGCCCCGCGCCTGGTGACCGCCAGCCCCATCACCATCGACAACAGGGCCCTGGAGAGCGTGGTCGGTGAGCGAGAGCCCTGCCCTGGCCCTGGCGGGGAAGCTGGAGCAGCTGAGCTGTGTCCGGGGTTCGGATGCTAGCCGGGCGCTGCAGGCGGAGGCTGGGACCGGCGCGGGGCCGTCATCCGCTGCGAGCAAGCACTGCGTGAGGGAGGCTCTGGCAGCCCCCGCAGCCTTGACCTTGGGCCTGGGGACGCATGGGCTTGGCTTGGGGCTGGGGTCTGGAGGCCTGGAACAGGAGACATTAAACACCACAGCCTGTGGGCCAGGGGCTCAGACCCCGTTACCTGGAGGTCCTGCCTCCGGCACCCCCAGAGGGAGGCAGAGTTGGCTCCGGCCCCCAGCAAAATGCAGCCACTTCTGGGGTGGGAAGCGGCAGCTCTTTACAGCACGCTTTGGCCCTCCGGCCTCAGAGAGTCCACGCGGAGTCCACCCGGGTCTGAGCATCAAGCCGGGCCCATTGCAAGGAGTCTGCGGCAGTGACTCGGCCACAGGACCGTGGCTGGGCTGGTGCCGCACGAATCGACGCAGAGCCGGCTCCTCTCCCAGAGCCGGGCCAGGGGCGAGCAGGGCATCGCTCTGCAGACCTCATCCCCCACCTCCTGTGCCCGTTTCTCCCCTGGGCAAAGCAGTGGCAGCCTGGGGAGATGTGGCGGCGGGTCGGCACTGAAGCAGGCAGTGTGGGTAAAACTAACTTTCCTTTGCTCTCCCGTCAGGCGACTGCCGGTTTGTTTCTGCGACCTTCCGGCTCTTCAAAGTGCCCCCGGCGGGTGCGGGCGGGCGGTGCCAGGCTGTCTACAATGGCGGGATCCCCGGGCATGAGCAGGAGCTGGTGTTTGATGCCAGCTTCACCTTCAAGGTGAGCAGGGAGCCCCGAGACCCAGCGCCAGGGCTGGGGGTGGCTTTGAGCGGGCTGGGGCCACGGGTTGCGGTGTGCGGGGGGCTGCTCCAGTGCCACCACGGGGCCTGCCGTGTTCTCTGCGCCACACGTGACCGTCCGCTCTGCCCTGCAGGCGGGGGAGCCTGTGGATGTGGACGAGGACACTGCCGACATCCTGCGAGGCTCCCGCTTTGCGCAGATGTTCCAGATCCAGCCTACCAGCGGGCAGGCACCGGCAGCCGGGGGCTGCTGTCCAGGGAAGGCCCAGGTGGGTGCCCCAGGCTCCCCAAGGCCTTTTCTTGGCCTCTTGAACGGCTGCCGTGGTGCACCCCAGAGGTGGTTGCATGGCAGCCCCGCAGCGTGTTTGGTAATGGCAAGGTGCGGTACAGCCGTGCACGCCCTCGTGCCCTCATGGGGTGGGATTCAGGTGGGCACGTGTCCTGGGAAGGGCATGTCCTTCTCCCAGCTGAGCACAGCCGGGCTGGGCAGCCAGGGGCCACGGTGCTGTGTGGTTGCGGTCCTGGTGCCAGACCCTCCACAGAGCTGGGGTGCCCGGCCCTGGCTCTCAGGCAGTGTTCCCTGGGGTATTTTGGCAGCCTCTGGCGTGCACAGCCTGACTCCGGCTCGTGCTCAGCCCTGACTCCGCAGCCCCGAGCAGGGTTATCTTCCAGGACTTGCTCTCCTCCTCCGGC